GTCATCCCAGAGCAGCTTCCCAGAAACTGAGGACAGCAGCTGCTCCAGCAGTCGGGGGCCTGACCGCCGGCAAAACCACTCCTGCCAGCAACGTCGGGCCCAAAATCCACAGCTTCGGTCCAGAAGTCCCCAGGACAGGAGCCATGTGCCAGCACCAAGTCCTGGGAGGCGCAGGCCCAGGCAGAGACCATCAGACACATCCCGCAGGCGAAACTGCTCCTGCCTGCAACGTCGGACCCCAAATCGATCTGGCCGGTCCAGAAGTCCCCATGACAGGAGCCGTGTTAGAGCACCCAGTGCTGGGAGCTCCACTCACCGGTGGGACGGTGAGACAGGGACCCACCGCTGACACGTCCCACGTCAGACAGGGAGGAGGAGGCCCCCAAAGGGAGGGAGCCAGGTGAGAGCAAAGTGCCTCTCCCGCAGCCTGGCAGAGGGGCTGTCAGGGCAGGCAGCACAGGTGCCATGACTGGGGCCATTGTCTCTCTCCCCTCCAGCATGCCTGCTGTGTCAGCCATCAGAGGCTGACCCGGACATCTGTAGAGAAAACCTTCAGAAAAATGAGTTCTGTGCCCACGAGTTCTGCCTGGTGAGTTGCTTCATGGGCTCCCTCCGTTTTTTGACAGGCAGTCCCTGCCACTCTCTCCTCATCAGTGAGTGTCGTTTTTCCTGCAGTTTTTTCCCAGCCTCCTTGATCAGCAAGAGAATGAACGAGTAGGACTCAGGGTTTTCCTCCCAAGGAATATCCCAGATGTACTCTCTCAGGTGGCACAGCAGGTGAGAGCCTGACAAGAGCAGGGAGATTTGGGCCAGGCGAGGTTTGCTGGAGCTCAGCCCAGACCCCAAGCAAGAAAGCCCAGCCCTTCCAACCAGCTCTGGGACAAGGAGGAGGCCGTGAGGCTGCTGTTGATGGGGCTGCTCTGCTCTTTCCAGAGATGCTGCATCTGTGGCCAGAGCGGGGCCACCATCACCTGCTGCGAAACAGACTGTGACCTGAGCTTCCACCTGCCCTGTGCCAAGTAGGGAGGCTGTGTCACCCAGTTCATGCCACTGTGCAGGTACCTCCTGTCCCCTCCTCACCACCACCAGGGAAGGGCTGAGCACTTCTCACCTCACCCACCCCTTTTTCCCCCAGGGCCTTCTGCCCCACACACAGCCCACAGCAGGCAGTGGAGGCGACTCCAGAGCCGGGCACCGAATGCCTCATCTGCATGGAGCCTGTGGAGGACAGAAAGACCTTCAACACCCTGGTGTGCCCAGCCTGCAAAACCGCCTGGTTTCACAGGAACTGCATCCAAGTAGGACTGGTTCCCTCACCCCGGGGGCCACAGCAGGGGCTCAGCAGCACCAGGGCCTCACTCTGGCTGCTTGTGTTTCTCCTGCAGGGACAGGCTCTGCATGCTGGTCTTTTATCCCTCCAGTGCCCCCTCTGCAGAAATGATGACACGTTTCTCATGGATATGTTCACCATGGGGATCTGAATGCCCTTGAGGTTGGTGTCCTTCTGCCTGGCTCACAACACAGGGGGTGCAAGTGCTGTGCCGTGCCAGGGCCTGCCCCAGCAGTCCTGGCCCTGCACTGTTCCGTGAGTCCCCGGTTCAGCTTCACACAGGAGTTGGAAATGGCACAGGGGGAAGAGCAGGGACACCCTGCACCTGCCAGATGCCGGGGCAGAGGGAGCTCATCAGTTTTCTTTTCCCATCAGACCACCATCATGGGAGGGCTTTAATGCATTCGCCGAGCTAGAAGAGAGACACAGGCGCTGCGATGCCAGTGAGTGCCTTTGTCCAGGAGGCAGGCAGGAGGCAGAGGAGGAGGGGTAAGTTGCCAAAGCTGCCTCCCAGGGCTCTGCAGGGCTTGAAGGAGAAGGCCCCAAAAGAAAAGCTCAGCACCTCTATGAACCTGTTTGCTTCCCCAGGCCCTGGCAACTGCTCCTGTGCTCCTCCTGTGCTGCTGAGGGCACCCACAGACACTGCTCTGGCCTGGGGACAGCATAACCAGATGGGAATGTGACGGCTGTGCAATCCTGGGCACAGGTAAGAGG